AATATGTTTGCTTTTAGGATTAAATCAGCTAATGCATGTAATCTGCTTATTAGTACACTGGTATCGACATATGAGACTCACAAAAATACTATCAGTTACTGTTTTATTTATTTAATTTAAAGGCCTTTTATTGACCCTTTTTGAGTATTGGGAACTCCTAGGTGATAGGGGATACAGTGAGTGGGCTAGCAAACAGTCATGGACCTTGCTTGCCTGGAGCTCAAAGTCTTGTAAGGGACACAGATTTGAATCAAATAATAATACAAATAATACAATTACAATCTTCAGGAAGCATAAATGAGGAAAAGTGCAGAGGACAACAACTCTGGAAATGCGTAATGTAGAGACTTGATCTAGTTTGGTGATAGTCACAGGACACTCTCAGGAGAGACATGAAGGAGGCATAGAGATTATAAGGTAATGGAGGGAAGGAGAGGGGAACATACCAGGCAGGGAAGAACATCTTGTGCAAAGGTTCTGAAACAGGAGGAAGCAAGGTGTATTTATGAAACTGAAAGAAATCCAAGATTGTCAGAGATGGAGGAGGTGGCAGGGCCGGGATGTTCAGAAGTCTTTTAGGACATAGTAAAGAGCTGGCATTATTTTAAAAACATCAGGAAACCATTAAATAGGGAAATGTATAAAAAGTACATTTAAAAATATTATTATGTCTGCTATTTAGAGATAAGATTGGAAGGGCCAAGAAGACTGGGAGACTAAAGTGTTTGTGTTGATATATGTGATATTTTTTTCTAGATTCTACCATTAGCTAGATGCTATTTTACGGAGACAAGAATCCTTGGCACAGGACAGGTTTTAGCACATAGACTTTGAGATACCTATTTGTTAGCCAGATGGAGTTCTCAATTAGCTGACTGGGTATTCACCACATTTGGTTAACTCTAAGATACATACTTTCGCATTTTAATGTTTCTGAAATTAAGTTACGTCTTATAATCAATGGTAGGCCATAGTTAAATTTCTAGTCCTTTATATTTCTTAGTGGTGTGTAAATTGATGGGGCCATCAACATCTGTAATATCTTAGATCTAACAAAATATTGTTTTCACTAATAATAACAAGGAAGACCACCATAACACCAATGAGTAGCCCACAAGTGACCAATTCATAAAAAATTCTGATCAACAACCAGTAGGAACCACTGGGCCTTAAAACAACCAAAATAGTGTAAGAGTGACCAGAAAGGGCAATGGGTTCAAGACAACTGACCTTTCTTCCACCCACCGACGAGCCAGCAAGATGGAGGAGGAGACAGGAAACTGCTATCTAAATAGGATAAAGGCTATACCAGCATCTGTTAATGGAAATCATCATAATTATAGTGATAATTAATGCTTAAATAATACTGGATATAGACTAGGTGTTCTCAAGACTTACGTCAACCTATGTAGTCCTCATAACAACACTATAATGTAGACAGTTTTGCTAAAATACTGAGCTGGAAAGAGGTTAACTAACTTGCTTCAGTCATACGGCTCATAAATGGCAGGTCCTGGTTCACACCCAGGCAGTGCAGCTCCAGAGCCTCTGCTATCAACCACTGCTATGCTAATGAAGATAATTAACCCCTTGGTGACCTGGGAACAATAGAGAATTATGGAAATTTTGTGAGGGCTTTTGCCAACAGAACCAGACCTAGGACACATACATTGAAGATCTTCAAATTTCTACACACATATGGCTTGGGGAAGAAGGGGTAAGAAAGAGCTCTTATTCTGAGTTCTGAGAACAGTATTACAACATCTGAATCCAATGTGGCAATATCGGCTTAGCAGTGCATTAGAAGGAAGATATTCCATAAATAACAAAAAAATTATCAATATCAGCAACAAAATTTACATTCCTATTTTTATCTTGGAATGACGTATGTAACTAAAAATAAAGAGAGCATGTTTTGTAAGCTATATGTTTTCTAAAATTAAAAATGCTCACCTGTAATCAACTTTGATATTATGAAGGAAAAGTAGAATTGTTCAAAAATCATAATACCTTGTTCATATAAGCTCCAGGCCTCCATTTGTGTTACCTAATGGCAAACGGTGATGGCAGCAGGACTCTGAGCTAGGAACCTTCGATGTGCATCTCTGTTAGAGTTAGCACTGTGTCTTATTATCCTAACAAGTGCAACATTTCCCCGACTTCATGTGTTTCTGTTTAGTCTTCAATCAGGATACACCAGTAAGAAAAAGTGGCAGCTCCACATTTACCACTGTTTGAGATTTTAGTGAGGGCATTTTATTTTGCTTGACATGGAAACATTTGTTTTTATGAAAAATACAGTGCTTTATGGAAACTAATAAGCATAATCCTATCAAATAAAGTTGCTAAATATCTTTTTTTTTAAACTAAAGGAGTTAGAAAGATATAAATGTCAGGGATGGGAGAAACCTTAAGTGCAATTCTATCTTTTAACCCCGAATAGCTGCAATTATGCTAGTTTTCCTACTTTAATTGTCTTTATGGTTTCAAAGAGAGAAACTCTGATCTATTTTGTTTCCTTATCTTGTCCATCATGGAAAACTTCAGCGCGGTATTTTATTTAGCTGTGTGATTTCTGATTGATGCTGCATTCCTAGCTTCCCTTACAACTCAGGAAGTCTCCTCCTGCCTGAGGAGCTCACCTCTCCACTTCTTGAAGAAGCATGGCTGCGTGGAAAAGTAAAGCAAGTTCACTCCTCAGCATTGCTTTATTATAGTTCCAGCTTCCTCTCTTCTGTTGACAGTTGATGTTGGCAGGCGTTGGCATATATATCACCTATATAATTCTAAATCTATGTGTAATCTTGAAAGAAAATCTATATGTAATCTGTTCACACATGCAAGCATATGTGAGGATGTCTGAGTTTTTGTTTATTTTGTTAGTCACCAGGGAATGATTTTGAATTTTCCCTTTTAAAAGGAGGCAGAAAAGTACTTAAGATGTGTATAATTGAAAGATGCAATTACATATTATTTATTGTTTTCTGACTCTCTCATTGTTTCTATTACTATTGAAATAATACTAGATGAAGACTGACAATACATTAATCTAGTACATAGACATGGTGCCATATAAATACTTTATATGTCTTATGTCACTTAAAGCTTAGGATCATCCTAACAATAATTATATGAGGCCAGTATAATCGCCTGAAGGTAAACTGATTTGTCTAATATTTCACAGCCTGTTAACAGTGATTTGAATATTAGGGCCCAGGTCTGACTATGTCAGCTAGGGTCCACTTATGAAATAGAAACTACATAGTAATTTGAGCAGGAAGAGATTAATGTAAAGAATTATTAATTATGATCTGCTACTAAGGGGTAAAAATAACTTTAAAAATTTGAGAAGATCAGATATAGAGTGGCTGGTATTCCTAGGTCTGAGGCAGAGCACCTAAGGAAAGAACAAGTTTTAAAGAACCTACCCCCACCACACCCCCACCTCCATGGAGCCACGTCTTGGAGAGGGCATAGCTCTGGCCCAGCGAATGGCAGAGAAGTTCACTAAGAGAGCAAGCTAGGGGAACTCCCGGGAAAGCCACTTTCTGGAGTTCTTGGGGAACCGTCCATAGGGAGCTGTCACACTATGGAACCTACTGGGAACCCACTCATGGGAAGGTGTTGCAGCATGGAACTTGGTAGGAAGCTCCCAGTGTGTGTGCATATGGTGGGAGGTGATTCTAAGACACCTCCCAGAAAGTGCCCTACCCTGCTGGCTGCTGTGCACTGTAAGAGCCAACAGAGAGAAGTACCCAGATCCAGGAAGAGCCCCTTCATTATCCAGTTCCCTTTTTTGCTCTTAATGGAAGATGCTTAAATTGTGCCTTATGACCAGGAAGTGATCTAGTCTCACAAACAGGACAGTGAAAGGTGGATTGGGAGTGAGGTAATAGATTGATATCTGGCACACAGCCCACAAACAGATCTGCTTTCTTAATCATTTAAGCATTATGTCATACTGCTTTATACTTACTTTACCATAAAATATACTATCTAACAAAATAAAGGAAAGAAGAAAGAAGGAAATTAGGAAGGAAAGAAAGAAAATGTGATAGGGTTATAAATGAAGATTTACATCATATGATAGTTCTCTTTTCTTTTGAAATATTTCTAGGTAGAGTCACTTTGAATTCATTGCTCAGGAGATTGTCTTACTGAGTTTTAGGCACTGGCTTATCAAACAAAAACTGAAGCTGCAGCAGGAGATCCAGGGTCCATAACCAAAGAATTTTCATTCTATGGTTCAAATTATTTTTGAATTCTAGTTTTCTCATCTACTAGTTAATGCAGGTTATGTTTGGTTGATAATCATTTGTTTGCAAATAAGAGCTTCCTTAGATAAGCCAAAGCCTAATTACATCATTTACAGACTGCAAGATTTAGGCAAGTTATTTAATTTTTCTGGGCCTCAAATTCTTTATGTAAAATGGAAATAATAATAAGATACGCTTTATAGATATTTATGAAAATGAAGTGTATTAATATTTAAAAGCACTTGGAACAATTCCTTGCATACAGTAAGTGGTATATAAGTATTTGCATACATATCATTATATTTTCTTATACATCATAGCCTAGAAATATTAATTCCGTCATTTTGCTTTAGGGAACTCTACACTTAGTCAACATTTTTGTCAGATTAATCTGATTTCATTATTTAATGTTAATTAAAAAATATACATGGTTACATGTATAACATGAATGCTGTTCATTGGTTACCTTACTTTTTCCCATACCTATTAACAATACTGCTTTAAACTTACAGTGTTTGAAGATGATATTTGTAAACCCCTTACTTTTAAATTTTTGCTAGGAATTATCTAAACAGTAAGATTGTTGATGAAGTACCTTTGGCTAAAGAAAACCCACATTGTCAATATAGCCATTAGCATTCAAATTATTAGTCTTTAATTTGCATCCTTTACATAAACACAGTAGACATTTTGTAAAAATGTCTAAAATTTAAAAATGTTTTAATGTTCTTTTGTTTTTTACAGACGACCATGACAAATATTCTGAACTCATCAAGAAGTTCAATGCAATTGAAATGTTATTTACGCTCTATCCTCCTCAAGGTGCCCATGTGCGTAATAATGTACGACTTAAGTCAACTTGGCTGAGACCCATAGTAAATGGGGAAGAAGGATATAGATATATAGGTAAAATGCTGAATCTTATTATTTCTTTATAATATAGAAGAAATGACTCTTTATATATCTCTTACTTGTCACTTAGATGATGTGACAGGAAGTGACCAGGAAGTGATCTAGTCTCACAAACAGAATGTTGGGTAATTCCTAGGCCATACAGAATATTCATTTCAGTTCTTAAGTAGTGTGCCTGCAGTTTAAAGAGTGGCTGTTTTACACTTTGGTACCTCCTTGGGAATAGTGGAAACACACTGTGTTGTTTCATTCACCTGATGATGGACATGTGTGTTGCTTTCAAAAACGTGATACTACAAGGAAAGTTACAATGAACATTCATTCACATGACTGTGTACAGACAAATGCTTGCATTTCTCTTAACCAAACTGTTTTCCAGAGTAGTTATATCATTTCATATTCCCCATCAGCAGAGGTCTGAGAGCTGTATTCATGCACTCCACAGCTACATCAATACTTGGCATAATCAGTTTTTCTAATTTTATCCATTTTAATAGGTCTGTATAGATATTCCATTTTGATTTTCATTTACATTTTTCTAGTAGATAATGATATTTGGTGTATTTTCATGGGTTTGTCATTATGTTATCATCATTGGTGAAGTGTATGTTAAAATCTTTTGACCAATTTTAATATATATATTTTTATTTGTAAGTGTTGAAAGTTCTTTAAATATTCTGAATATAAGTCCTTTACCATATATTCTTTGAAAATATTTTCTCTTAGTCTGTCTTGTCTTTGCTATCTTTTAATAATGTCATTTGAAGAGAAGAGTCATTCTTTTTTGTACTTGACTCAAGGTATAGGTTGAAGTGTCTTTTTTTTTTTAACATGTTGGTATCCAAATGTGCTAGTGCTATTTGTTGAAAAGACTATCCTTCTATTAATTAACTTTGTATTTTGGCAAAACCAAATAAACTAAGAAGATATATAGATGGCAAATAAGCACACGAAAAGATGATCAATATCATTAGTTGTTAGGAAAACACAAATTAGGGATGCCCGGATGGCTCAGCAGTTGGGTGTCTGCCTTTGGCCCAGGACGTGATCCCGGGGTGTTGGATAGAATCCTGCATCAGGCTCCCTGCATGGAGTCTGCTTCTCCCTCTGCTTATGTCTCTGCCTCTATCTGTGTTTCTCATGAATAAATAAATAAAATCTTTTAAAAAAAAGGAAAAATATAAATTAAACCTACACTAAGGTGAGAAGACTCACCTATTGGAAACACTAAAATAAAGTTTTATTTAATGCCAAGTATATAGAACAACTGAAATATTGCATTGCTGGTGTAAATGCAAAATGATACAATCAATTTTTAAGTATTTTGGTCCTTTCTTATGAAGTTAAACTACTCTAACCCATAAACCTAGCCATCTTACTCCTGGGTAATTACCCAAGAGAAATGAAAGTGTTTGTTTGCCTAAAACTTATATATAACTGTATTCAGTTGCTTTAGTCATAATTGCCAAAAGCTGGAAACAACATAAATGTTCTTTGCCTGGGGAGTAGGTAAACAAAATTTGTTATATCTTCAAAATGAAATATTTTCAACTATAAAAGGGAAAGAACTATTGATACACACAACAATGTAAATTTCACATGCATCATGTTAAGTGAAAGAAGCTAAATTCATAGGCTGCATTTAGAGTCTACTTAAATGACACTTTGGAAAAAGCAAAACTATAAGGGCAGAGATCAGCCCATTGATTTCCAGGGCTTACAGGTGGTAGGAGGGTTTGATTACAAAGAGGTAGCATGAGGAAGTTCATAAGGTGATGGAATTATTCTGTCTCTTGGTCATGATAGCAGTTATATGACTCTGGAAATTAGTTAGAATGAACTACCAAAACAGTGAATTTTACTGTAAATAAAATTTTAGAAATAAGCACAAAATAAAAAAAAAGAATTTATATGAATGTCACACAAGTCCAAAAGAGATGTTCATCATTATTATTAATTAGGGAGATGTAAATAAAAACACAATGGAATACCGCTATACACTTAATTGTAATGGCTAAAATTAGAATGACTGAACACACCAAATGCTGGCAGGGATGGGTAGCAATGTTAACAGTAATATTCATTCACTGCAAATGTAAAATGGTAAAAATGCTTTGCAAAATAGTTTGATATTTTCTTAAAACGTTAAACATATACCTATTTTATAACACACCATACCAATCCTAGATATTTACCCAAGACAAAAGAAAATATATGTCCATATAAAGACTTGCACATGATTATTCACCGATTCCTTTTTTGTAAAAGACTCAAACTAGAAACAACTCAAATACCTATGTACAGGTGAAAGGATAATCAAATTGTGATATATCCATGCAGAATACTACTTACTAAGCAATATAAAAGAACAAGCTATTGACAGTATTGATACATGTAAAACAACATGGCTGGAAAGAATTATGCTTAGTGAAAGAAACCAGGCAAAAAAAGAGGACAGAGTATGATCCATTTATATAATTGTTTAGAAAATGCAAACTAAACATTATAACAGAAGCAAATCTATATTTACCTGGGATGGTGGTGGGCAGTGGAAGTGAAATGTGATGGGTTACAAAATTTTGGGGTGATGGAAATGTTTATTATCTTTGTATTATCTACAAAACTTTGGGGTGATGTTTTTATGTATATATGTTTTTATGTATATTTTATATATATATATATACGTATGTCAAAATTCATCGAGTAGTAGACTTTAAATATGTGCAGTTTTCATTTATACCTCAACAAAGCTATAAAAATAAAGTTGAAAACATAAATTTAAAGAACCAAGAGAGTGCAATTTGTATTTTGATAATATTTTTGAGAAATGGTTTCTCTTTAAGTTTTAAAACCAGCATTTTAGAATTTGTCTATGGGGAGCCACAGATATACTGCTTCCCATTGGGCTAGTGCATATAATGGTATACTTAAGTGCTCTTTTCTGATAGAAAGAATGAAGGAAGAAGAGGGAAAGAGAAGGAAAATTATGAAAAAGATAATAAGGGTTTTAGGTACTATAAGATGAATCAAGACCCTGGTTGAGATTTATCTTCTTTTTGCTATTTTCTACCAGAATATAAGCACAATGCTACCCATATCATTCTAAAAGATTTGTGTTCATTGTTTATAGCCTATTTGTGAACTTGATACAAATAAAACAAGCATAAAGGAAATTTGCAAGAGGCAGTATGTTGTAAGTTAAAGACTCCATCCTCTGAGGTTTTAGCTTATCTTTTCCCTTTTAAGTAAATGGCCGAGGTCTTGCATCTTTTTGAATTACAGTTGTTATTAAATTGATAGACAAAACAGTTTGTAGTATTTGCCTTGAGAAAGATTAGTCTATTATAGAAGTAATACTGAAACTCAGTATCTGCTCCACTAGAAACATTTTAGGGAGGATAACTCTGGGAATTTATTATGTGTCCCAACATTAATAATACTCCACTATGTAGGCACTTCTGTTTATTGATTTCACTCTGTAGATTTAGAGAAGTGTCATCAGCAAGAACTGAGGGGTAGTTAATAGAATTACTGAATGCTCGATAAATGGCATGGTTGCTAACAAATTATGTAGTATTAGGACCATGCATATTCTAAAATTATTCATTATATCCATGTTTTTACATCCCATAATTCCTATCACAGTAGTTTGAGTGTCACTGGAATGCTGCATAAGTCATAACTTCAAATTACTTAATATACACAAAGTATTTCTTCTGAATCATAATTTAACGATTTTAGATCAATGAAGTAAAAAAAAAAAAGTAAAAAATTTTTCTCCAGGAACATATGTTTTGTCAAACTTATTTTCAGAAAATAAGTTTAACAAGCTTTTTGGAAGGCTTGTATCTTTTGTTATCTTTCCTTATGAGTTGTCTGTCCTTGAGTTCCTGGGTCTTGTGGCCTGTCATTGACACACCGAACTTGTTTCTCACCTTCATTAAGTTTTTGTGACTTTGGTGGATTCTCAACCTGGAAGCTGTAGATTATATTAAGGAACTCTTGGAATTCTAATGGGAATACCTTGAAAGGAGTAGGTTAGCCATTATCTTTCAAGAAAATCATTTAGAGAATACAAATGAATGATTAAATTACTTTCTCAAACCAGTGGTGCATTCTTAACTGAAATCATATTATTATATTAATGTAAGGTTTCTAATTAGTTCAGATCCTGAATAATGAGCAAAGACCTCCAGTTCAACGACTTCTTTTCCATATATCATTTCCAGCCCTTCATATAGTACATTTTACTTACTCTTATAACATATGGCTATTTAAGTTATGTAATTAATACTGGAACTGATTTCTTGAACTAATCACTGTTTTGTTACCCATTATAAAAGTACCAGATACTTTCTATGCTATTCAGTTTATTCCATTGCCTTCAGGCAAGACCTGATGTACATTAACCAAATGAGAATTCTATCTTTACATACTCTGGCAATTACATAATTGCCCTTGACAGTCAGGTCTGATTTTTGATGATGATCTCTCTCAGAACTTTCTACTCTGCAACACAAGACTCTTTTCTTACACTTGTTCCATTACACTTGTAACTTTTCACTATCCACAAAATTAAGGCTACATAGATTAATAAGAGTCTTTATTTTTCTGTGATAGGTCTTTTAAAATATTATTCCTCAGAGGCCCTCTTTCTAATCCTTAATGTCTTCTGGCACTTCTCCCTAAACATTTTTCAAATTTTCTCATTTCTTTTAAGTGATGGAACTTAGAAGAAGATACGATAATCCAATATATCTAATTTATTGTGAATATAATCCAAATACTATATGTTCTACTTATATCTTTGTACTTGATTTAGATTTTTAAAATACACATCTCAGGGGTGCCTGGGGGTGATTCAGTTGGTTAAACATCCAACTCTTGGTTTTGGCTCAGGTCATGATTTCCTGGGTGGTGGGATTGAGCCAAGTAGGGCTCTGCTCTCAGACAGGAGTCTGCTTGAAGATTCTCTTCCTGTGTCCCTCCCCCAC